TATCTGTAAACTGATTATTTTCACGTTTAAACTCATTTAATTCGTGACTTTTTTCTATTTCAAATGACGCAGTTTTTAAAATAAATAAATGTTTTTATTTTTATTTATAAAAATTAATCTAAATATTATTGTACAAATATAAATATATATATATTATCATCAAAACTAGAAGATTTATTTTTTTAAAAAAAATAGCTAGTTATTATGTATAATCTTAAATAATTTAAGAAAAGCTTAACTGAATACTTTTCAGTAGGTAGTGTATATAAAAAATGTATATTTAGCACTAAAGCTCAAGTTGAGATTAGATAAAAATATGTATTTATAAAGGTACTAATTTATAGAAGATGCATTTATAGAGAGTTGACTGTATTCTTTTAAATATATATATTATATATATTTTTTAAATACATACTCTTATTTAATTTGAGATATATAAAAATTATATAAAAAATTTTTTTTAAATGCACATTTTCTTTAAATATTATATATATTCTATAGTTTTAAAGAAAATATTTAAAGAGGTTTAAATGTATATAATTGTTAAAAAAATTACTAGTTAGTGAATTTATAAATAACTAAAAATAAATATATTATTTCAAGTATATTGCAAGCAAACTTGTCTATAATTTTATTTAATATTTAAAATTATTTGTAATAATTTTATATTTTTTAAGTAAAAATTCAAAAAAAAAAAATGCAATTAATTAGTAATATTTTAAAGATAAAATTATTATTTATTAATTTTAGAAATAAAAAATGTAATCATTTAATAAGTTTTAATGAAATAAATTCAACTAAATTTTATTTTTTTGTGATTATTAGATAATAAGTTATTTTAAAAAATTAAAAAATCAATATATATTAACAATTATTTAAAATAATGAAAAATTTAAGTATAGTAATTTTTTAAAAAAAATAAGATTGCTTGTTTTTTTAACTAAAAATTTAGTAAAAAAATTATAATATAAAATTAGTTTTTTAGTATAGTTTATAATTTTTAATAAGAATATATAATCAGATTAATAATAAAAGAAAAATAAAAAGATTCTTAATTATTTAATTTTGAAAAATTTAAAAAAAAAAAATAATATTTTAAAAGATAATATATTAATTCAAATTGCATATGAATACAAATCTTCATGAAAAGTAGGAATAATTTTATTATTATGGTTAAAATAAAGTTTAGGCCTTAATTTTATTAAGTATATAATAGAAAGAAAAAATTTCAAAAAAATTTTTTGAGTTAATATTAAATCTAAACTTATTTTACTAAAAAATTATATTTATTTTATAAAGTAAAAAATTTTTTAATACAATATTTTATATTAAATATATTAAAATTATTAATAATTTGGCTATTTTTTTTTAATAATCAAACACATCATTCAATATAATAAAAAATGCCTGTTTATAAAATAATAGTCACGTGAAAACTTCCGATTCAAATTCATTGTCCTACATAAGTATATTTGTCGAACAAATAAATTAATTATTATTTATTTATTTATTTTATTATGGTTTTGATCTGCAGTACAGTAGGTCGTTTAAACATTGGTAAATTAATTTTGCAATATCCTTAAAATAAAATTAGTAATTACACAAGTTGATGAAAGGATGGTCAATGCACAATTAATCAATAAATTTTTTTGTACGATGATGGCGAAACGAGATTTTACAACAACTTACTAATCAGATTATTAAACGTTTGTAAGGTGTTAATAATAAAACCGCGTGGTTTATTTTATTATAGTTCAATCTCAGATATAAATATGAACGCTATTCCGCGAACCTTTATCTTTCCGACGACAAGTTTAACAAATAAAAGGAAAGTTTTTTTAAAACGTATATATGAGAAATGTCGACGATTCGTAGAGACACGCTTAATGTTGCGATCCATAAAACATGTTCATTTATAGATCATGAAATTCACAATAACTTATACAAAAGGCATGAATTTAGATTAAAATCAATCATGGCTGATACAACTCTTACTAAAGATGAAATGAATGAGGCAGTAAGAATTTTCAATATAAATTATAACCGAGATAAAATTCTTTATAATGAAGGAACAAAACGGATTTGTGAAAATTGTCAAACAGAATGTTTAGCAATTTTATACTGTGAAAATTGTGTTCGAAATCATTTAAAATCAAAATTTTCAAATTGGACGTCTGGAAACGATGAGATTGATGCCTTGATACAGAAATGTCAATTAGAAACGGTTTTGCCGTCCAGAATAATTGAATGGATCCCATATAATAATTTACAAAATATTAAGTACTTAACCAAAGGCGGATGCTCCGAAATTTATACGGCAGATTGGATTGATGGACCTTATCATGAATGGGATTCTAAAGAACGACAATTAAAAAGGGCAGGAACACGAAAGGTAGTACTCAAACTTTTGGATGATTTTGAAAGTGCAAATCGAAGTTGGTTTGAAGAGGTTTGTAATAATTAAATAATTTAACGTTTTTAATATCTGGATGGTTTGATTCTAATTTATCATCTTAATTTTTGTAGGCCAAGTCACATTTTACCATTGGCAATAAATCAGCACAGATTATTCAAAGTTTTGGATTGACCCGAACTGCAGCAAATGGAAATCATATGCTTATAATGAATCAAATGGATACAGATTTAAGAACGTACTTGCAGCGAAACCATAATCAAATAACGTGGAAAGAAAGGATCAAAATTACTTTTAATATAATTTACGCAATTCTTAAAATCCATAAAGAAAACGCGGTACATAGGGATTTACATTCTGGAAATATTTTATATTTGCAAAATGAAAGTTGGTGGTTCATTAGTGATTTTGGATTTTGTGGTCCTGCGGACAAACCATTAGATAGCATATATGGTAATCTCCCTTATGTGGCACCTGAACTTATTGTTGGTAAAGAAACTACCAAAGTGTCGGATATTTATAGTCTTGGCATAATTATGTGGGAAATTTCTTCAGGAATGCCACCTTTTTCAAATTATGCACATGATTACAACCTCGCAATGAAAATTGTTAATGGTTTAAGACCGAAAGTTGTACCAGGAACTCCTTTAATTTATGAAAATTTTATGAAACAATGCTGGAATGCTGATCCATCACAACGACCTGATATTTCTCTACTTTATGACGAATTTCTTGGGATTAAAAAATTATATTATCAGAATATATTAAAAGATCCAGAAATTAATAAAAGATTGGAAATACCTAACACAAATATAAATGATATAAGCAACAGCAGGGTTTATAAATTTGAAAATTTACCTGAACCAAAAAACGCAATTGAAGGTGAATTAAATAATTCTTTATTATTATTATTATTTAATTTATATATTAAATAATTTTTTTTAAAAAAATCAGAAGAACAAGAATTATTTCATAGTAAATCTTATAGCTTTAACATTCCTGATAATAGTAAGTGATTGTTACCAATTTTGATAATTATATGCAATTGACTTACTTTTATTGATTGTTCTTGTTTTTAGTCGATGACATTAAAAATTCAAATATCCACAATTATGGCTATACATCCAAAGCAAGTAGTAATATTTCAAAAGGTAGTTACCTATAATTTTCCAATTTTGAACGAATTAAAATAATGTTAAAGTATTAAAAATAATAAATTCTAATTGAAAATTATTAATATTTTTAGACATTCCAAATGGTTGTAAAAGGGTATCGCAACCAATAAAGAGTCAAATTATTCATATTGAAGGTAAGCAATTAAATTCTAATTTTATGTTTCATAAATTAAGTAAAATAAAATATACAGTATATTCAAATTTTAATTTAAAAGGCCAGGATGAATTAATGAATTCCGATTATAAATCAAAATCTGACTATGTGGATAATGATAATAAGAAAACATTTCGCTAAATTGTTTAAGTTCACAATTTTTAATTCTTATTTATAATCATGATTCAGATGAATTGAAAGTCCTTGATAATGAACAAAAAAAGCGGGATTTACTAGATTTTATGCTTTTATTTTTTTCAAAGGTTTTTATATGTATGTATACTAATCATTTATATTTTCCTAATTTCAATTTACTTTTATAGAAAACAAAACGCATAACTACAAACTCGTGCATTATTTTATTATTTTATATATTTTATTATTAAATAATTGATGATATTTATTTATATATTTTTATTCATTTTATTGTTTTACGTTGAAACTTTGGTTATTTTCTTTGCTTTAGTTTTGGAATCATTATTTATTTTAGAGATTGGAACCGGTTAATTTTAACCGGTCGGTTAATTAACTAGTTAAAACGGTTAACATGTTAACCGTCCAACCTCTAATTTGTTTTCCTAAAATTTCAAATAAAAGGTTTTACATGAAATGCAGTACATAAGTTGTACCATGAAAATTAATTACATGAGGTACTTTGAATTAATGTTTTTAATCTTGAAAAAATGATTTATCAAATGAATGGAAATTAATAAAATAATGCAACGTACAATAATAACATTTGCATAATTTCATCTGGAAGAGTTGAAAAATCAAATTCAAATAAAAGAAACGTTTAATCAAAAAAGTTTATTTAATAAGTGTATTTTTTTTTTAATTATATATATATTATTTCATTTATCACAACGAGTGTTAAAGATATACATTTTATCTTGACCGTAAAGTTATAATTCAAAAAAAAAAAAAAATTTATTAAGGTTGTTTATCAACCATGAAAAGTGGAGGTCGTGATAAAATATATGTCACGAGGGTAGGGGAATCCTTATATGTTAAAAAAAAAAAGTTATGCACATTATTGCTATATCTGATAATGATTTGCACCTTTCGGGATGCTGATCACATTGTTTCACGATAGGAACTTTCACATAAAAAATAAATCCCAAAAAACATTTACATATGAAAAATTAACATTTTTTTATTTTCCAACTTAATTTCACTTTCATTTTGTTAATGATAAGATTATACAGTAATTGCTAACTTATTTTTTATCCATTACGCGTTTAATGCTTTCCGAACTTAATTATAAAATTGACGATGCAGTAAAAGATTTCAAACGTCCTATATTATTTATCTTATCCTTCCCAATCATGTGAAAAAGTGAATAGATCTTTTGAGCACTCTCTATTTTTTTATCGTCGTCATTAAGTTCATTACTGGTTTGTTTTGATAGCTCTTCTCCCAGGTCATAGTAAAGGCGAATCAGACCTTGCTCAGCATTTGTGATCTCTTGCGCATCCTTAGTGATCTTTGGATTAGCATTGGTGGTCCCATCAGTATCTCCAGGCTTTTCATCATCAGCATTTAATTCCTGGATAAGTTTATATAACATAGGAGAATCATTCTTTATACCGTTAATAATATATATATAACTTTCTTGTTCTTCATCTGGTAAAAGAACACCTTTTGGCATTATTTTTCTTGTAAGACCAATACCACAAAGAAAAGGAAATAAATATGTCAAGCACTTTTCCATAAAAGGAAAAATAATACACCACTAATACAATGAAGAAGACCGACACAACCAATAACTATCATAGTAATATCCAAAGCAATGTGGATATGTTTCTTTGAAACAATAGTAAGAAAGTCGAATCCGGCAATACTAAGAAGGATAACGGAACCGAAAAAAAGCCCATACAGATTGAAGAACTTTTGCATTTTTCAGACTTTTATTTTTCTTTATCAATTTTTATTTTTATCAAGTATCATTTCCAAGTCTTGTTCTCCGAACATAGAAGTATTATCCTCAAAAATAATATTATTCCTTCTCTCTCCTGAATTGTCAGATTTCGAAATAATATCTTTTAGGGTCATAATAACACTGCTTCCGGTAAGAATAAGCGTAATGGAAGACACAACAACATTCCCAACAAATGAAATATCCAAAATATCTTTCTTTATAAGTAATAGAATAATCCCAAGGAGGATACATAGAAAACACAAGCCAACAACAAAAAAATTATGTGCCTTGAGTTGTTCGATTAGAGAATCATATGTATACAAATTCTCACTCAAAAGTCTTTTAACTATTTTAAGGTTCACTTCCAGTTCCGAAAGTTTCTTTGTTTCCGAAGCCTTCTCTGATTCCGAAACATCGATTGATTCTGAATCATTCTTTGAAGCCATCAATTACGGGTTGTTTATAAAGAAAAATAAAAAATATATTAGATGGCTAGCTAGCGTAAAAAATAATTTTAATGATTTAATGATTTATCACAAAATTTGTCCGCCTTACCATGCAAATCCACAATCAACGCCCCCCCCTTTTTTTTTACTTATAAGGTTAAACATTCCATTGAATGAAAGTTTGTTTTGTTAAAAGATTTCTGAATTTGCTCATTAAGCTTGTTCATTTCTGATCGTTCGGGTTTTGGTCGCAAAATCCGTTAACCAATCCAAACATGTGATCAAACTCAGAATTTGAGTTGGGGATTTCTGATTGCAAAAAATTTCAACAAAAACCAATCAACCATTTGTTTTGTTCGGAAAAATCGAATTGCTGATCGAGTTACACAATTTCGCCTGCCAATAATTATCAACTCAAAACCCGAACACCCCATTGTTTATGTAATCGTAACGATGATTGGTTGGTTTTTAAGGAGTAATTAATTATAATCGGAGTATCGTAATGTAGTAAAAAAAGAAGTAAACCAAGAAATGACCGTTAATACCATAAAAATTCGTATTGTTACATTGGATATAATTCCACCCGAAAAAAAATAATTTTCGCCTTGGTTAGTCTTTGTTTCGACCATATTGTTAGGATAAAATTTGTTAGGATGCCAAGTTGTCCTAATTAAAATTTTAATATATTTTCCTTGCGATATTCATAACTTCATAATTTTTATGCTGTAACTTTGTTAATTCGTTGTTTTAATAATTTTTATTTATTTTTATTTTTGCGATTATTATTTAATTAATTAGCGTTTAGTGATTAGCATTTATTTGAGTCAATGTTGAGACCACTGATTAATTAATTTTATTGAATAACATTTACATCATAATTATTCAATTGCTTATTAATAAACCCTTTTGCTTACATTTAAAATTGTATAAAATACATAAACGAAAGAATTGAATACAACAGCATTATATTTCAAAGTCAAGAGATAAAATTTTTACATATAAAATTTTTTGGTTAAAATTTAAAAGGTGACCCGGCCGGGTGACGTGAACCGAAAATGCTAGTGCGTGGCCTTATAATGGTAATCATTTTTATTTTTACTTAAAAATATGACGTAGGTTAATAAAAACTTTTTTTAAAAATATGCAATTTTATTAATTGTTTTAAATTTATGCGACTTACTGCATTAAATTCTACACATGAAAATTTCAAAAAATAAGCGACACATTTCAAAAGATTTTCCGTGATAAGTCAGAGCTCACCGGGCTCAAGTTCATGATTCCGATTTTCAATAATGTTTGTTGTAGGTCTAGAATAGTTTTTTTGCATGATACACGTAAAAATTTATTTCACAAAACATTTTGACGATCCTTTTCAATTGGAATCATTTGCTATTGGTGCAAATCTGTTCTCTTTGTTAAGCCTAGAAAGGATAAGGATACCAATTATTTTGTTTCAAAAAAAGATTCCTGATTTAATAATGAATTTTCCATTTAATGTGTTACCTGTATAAAATTTTCATTTATTTTGGTAATTTGACAAAATTACTGTTCTACATAACAGAGTATTTAGGGATGCAACAACGATATCCTTATGTCTTTGTAACGAAAGAAAAAGGAAAAAAAAATGTTAATGCGAAGTCACATGACATTACGGGCCTCGTCAATAAACAATCACCTTCTTATTTTGTAACTCAATTGACGAAGCCCATATAACCCTTTCACTCAAAAAGATATGTAAAGTTTTCAAAGTACGTCAATTAAAAAAATGATCAATCAGTATAATTTTTCGTGCAAAAAGGTCTTTATAAGGATGTGCGATACAGCGAAGTTATTGATTTGTGATCAATTTTTAATTATAAACCAAAGATTTACTTCTTTTGTCTTTCGGTATGATTATAAAGTTAAATTTACTGGTTTGTTTTGATGATAAACACATATACACAACATAATCATCTATTTTTAAAAGATGTTATATATTATTTACTTGTGATTTATTAACAAGCATGGAATAAATTTCTAAGTGACACGACATTAATCAAAAATAAATCATTTTCAAATTATATATAATATAACCAATATACACTTTCATTACTTTAATTCAACCACACATTCCCTTTACCTTCTTCACTCCATCTGCTTTAATTCAACCACACATTCCCTTTACCTGCTTTAATTCAATCACACACTCCCCTTTACAATCTTTAGTCCATCCGCTTTAATTAATCATCCTCATTTCACTTTTTAGAATATTGATTAATTATAATACAATGCTTTCCTCACGTTTAATCATACTATTACCTTTTATCTTTTCCATGACCTTGCAAACTTCCTCTACACCACATGTGAAATGTCCAGACGTACCTATCGGTCACTCAAAACAAGAATACTTTGTATTTCTCAACACTTCTTCTCACTCCACCAAATCAGTGACCAAAAGTCACTTTAAGATGCTTACTGAATGCTTTGGACTTGACGTAGAAAAAGTGACATCCGTAAAGTCCAAAAATGGAATGGTCAAGAGGTGTACCGCCAATGATAAAAAAATTATAGATTTTTCAGTTAAAGAAAGTTTTGCAGCGTATAGTGCTTTTTTTGACGAATCATTCGTTAAACATTACTTGAGCAAGGCGAATGACGTGGAATTCGTTGAAAAGGTTACTAAGGTATCCGTAGATGCAACTACTACCCAGTCCAATGCACCTTTCGTAAGTAAGCGAGTATCGTACGCAAAAACATTTTATTCCGTGTAATAATAAGATTTCGCTTTATTTTGATAGAATCTTGACCGTATCGATCAGGTCAATCTTCCGTTGGACAAAAATTACAAATTTCCGTCTGAAGCCGGTGGGGGAGTTAATGTTTTTGTTATTGACACGTGAGTAGATCAATTTAGCATTCACGATTTTTATTTTTATTTTTTTTTTTTCCTAAGAAAAAAATTATTTTTGATAAATTTAGCGGAATCGATACAAGTCATGCAGAATTTGAAGGGAGAGCAGTATTTGGGGGTGCTTTTTGTGACGGTTGTAGAAATACTGATGATAATGGGTATGTTTAATGAATCTAAACGATTTATTCTTGAAAATTTTTTTAAAAATATTTCATAACTTTTCATAACTTTTCATTTAATAAATTAGACATGGAACTAATGTGGCTGGAATAGTAAGTCATAATTTTCCAACCTTTCATTTTTTTTTCATTTTTAATTGAAATTAAAATTTTATTTATTTTTTTTTTCCTTCGTGAATAGATCGGTGGAAAGAAGTTTGGTGTTGCAAAAAAGACCAGACTTATTGCTGTCAAAGTGTTGGATAAAAATGGCTCCGGCAGCACCACGACCGTGGGTGCCGGGATTGTGTTTGTGATCGACCAACACAAAAAGAGTAAAAATAAAAACTCAATCATTAAGTAAGTTTTTTTTTTTTTTTTTATTTGTTAGTTTGTGAACCTTCTCCTCTTGTTAACTTGTATAAAATTTAACGTAGCATATCCATTGGTGGAAAACAATCTAAAGCAATTAATAAATTGGTTGAAGAATGCACAAATGCCGGTATCCATGTGGTAGTTTCGTCCGGAAATGATGCAGCAGATGCATGCAACACATCACCAGCATCGGCCCCATCAGCAATTACTGTGGGAGCCACGGAGAAAACTTCAAATCAAGTTACAGATTTTTCTAATACAGGATCATGTGTGGATATTTTTGCTCCAGGAAGAGATATTGTTGCAGCTGGAATTTCTGGCAAGGAAAAATTATCAACGTTTTCAGGAACAAGTCAGGCATCTCCTCATGTTGCCGGCGCGCTTGCGTTGATAATCAACAATAGAGGAAACATGGATCCATCATTGATGGCTAAAGAACTGACGAAAATCTCCACAAAAAATGTTGTCAAAGGTTTAAATTCATACACGCCAAATGTGTTTTTGCGTATTCCTATGTGATGTGGCAGATTAGTTTCGTTAGTCATGATAAAAGTTCAGATAATGCGAATATAGTAACATTACTTACTTTGTATAATATGTGCGCACACCTTCAAACCTGAAGGTCATTTCATTGATTGTCGTGTCCATGAAATTTATTTTGTAAATAAATTACATTTAGAACGAATGAATAAAATTTACTTTTTCAAATACATATGACGTCACTTGTAAGAGCATTGAAATCAGAAAAATTTTTTTTTTAATTTTACAAAAATCATGAGAATTCCTCCTTCATTCATGATTTTTATTTTCAATTTTTTTCAAGAAGTCTTAAACAAGCAATTAAATTATTTTACTCGATAAAAAAAGATTTTTTCATTTTCTCGTGTCTTGTGCAACGACTTTATTTTCCCTTAACCTTTTCTTTTAAATTGAAAAAGACGCGCCAGTGTTCGAGCCCCTCTGAGGATTTTTTAAAAAAAAATGGTCAATCAAACGCAACAAAAAAAAAAGAAAATTTTTTTCATTTCGCGGTTTGCGTCACGAATGGCGCAGCAAAATGAAAAATTGCGTTGGCTGGAAATGAAAAAGAAACAAGTCACAGATTTCAACATTATAGAATAAAAATCAATGAGAATTCAATTTATAAATGAACGAAATAATATTTTATTCAATATAAAGAAATCAATTTATTAAATAATAACATGAATATAAAATTATCAAATTTTTGCGGGATTCAACTTTTCATTGTGCAAGGGATTGTTGGAAGGAAAGAGGGTTAAGGATTGGAAAGGGTAAGAGGGTAAGGGATTGGAAGGATGAACGTAAACTTATCAAAACAACCCTAACTATAGATAATTTAAACAGTTCAATGCTAAAATGAGAATATAATAGGGAAGTGTCTGATCTCACGAGTTAAAACACCAAGGACATCCCGAAATCATCATCTCCATCTTTTGCACCAGATCATCCAATCCAATCGACTTTCTCTGTCCCTAGTTGTTCCTTCTGTTAAGGTAATATTTCTCGTGTCAAAAATTTATCTTAAAATTTTATTTTTTTTTGTGTGTGTGTGTGTG